CCCTGGGCCTGCCCCAACCCCCCCAGCCCCCTCTGCCCCTGCCTACAGCCTGTACCCGTCATGGAAAAGACCCCGTTCTCCCTACGGCTGCCCCCAACCCCCCAGCACCCTCTGCCCCAGCCTACAGCCTGTACCCGCTATGGAAAAGACCCCGTTCTCCCTACGGCTGCCCCAAACACACCAGCACCCTCTGCCCCGGCCTACAGCCTGTACCCGCTATGGAAAAGACCCCGTTCTCCCTACGGCTGCCCCAAACACACCAGCACCCTCTGCCCCGGCCTACAGCCTGTACCCGCCATGGAAAAGACCCCGTTCTCCCTACGGCTGCCCCAAACACACCAGCACCCTCTGCCCCGGCCTACAGCCTGTACCCGCCATGGAAAAGACCCCGTTCTCCCTACGGCTGCCCCAAACACACCAGCACCCTCTGCCCCGGCCTACAGCCTGTACCCGCCATGGAAAAGACCCCGTTCTCCCTACGGCTGCCCCAAACACACCAGCACCCTCTGCCCCGGCCTACAGCCTGTACCCGCCATGGAAAAGACCCCGTTCTCCCTACGGCTGCCCCAAACACACCAGCACCCTCTGCCCCGGCCTACAGCCTGTACCCGCCATGGAAAAGACCCCGTTCTCCCTACGGCTGCCCCAAACACACCAGCACCCTCTGCCCCGGCCTACAGCCTGTACCCGCCATGGAAAAGACCCCGTTCTCCCTACGGCTGCCCCAAACACACCAGCACCCTCTGCCCCGGCCTACAGCCTGTACCCGCCATGGAAAAGACCCCGTTCTCCCTACGGCTGCCCCAAACACACCAGCACCCTCTGCCCCGGCCTACAGCCTGTACCCGCCATGGAAAAGACCCCGTTCTCCCTACGGCTGCCCCAAACACACCAGCACCCTCTGCCCCGGCCTACAGCCTGTACCCGCCATGGAAAAGACCCCGTTCTCCCTACGGCTGCCCCAAACACACCAGCACCCTCTGCCCCGGCCTACAGCCTGTACCCGCCATGGAAAAGACCCCGTTCTCCCTACGGCTGCCCCAAACACACCAGCACCCTCTGCCCCGGCCTACAGCCTGTACCCGCCATGGAAAAGACCCCGTTCTCCCTACGGCTGCCCCAAACACACCAGCACCCTCTGCCCCGGCCTACAGCCTGTACCCGCCATGGAAAAGACCCCGTTCTCCCTACGGCTGCCCCAAACACACCAGCACCCTCTGCCCCGGCCTACAGCCTGTACCCGCCATGGAAAAGACCCCGTTCTCCCTACGGCTGCCCCAAACACACCAGCACCCTCTGCCCCGGCCTACAGCCTGTACCCGCCATGGAAAAGACCCCGTTCTCCCTACGGCTGCCCCAAACACACCAGCACCCTCTGCCCCGGCCTACAGCCTGTACCCGCCATGGAAAAGACCCCGTTCTCCCTACGGCTGCCCCAAACACACCAGCACCCTCTGCCCCGGCCTACAGCCTGTACCCGCCATGGAAAAGACCCCGTTCTCCCTACGGCTGCCCCAAACACACCAGCACCCTCTGCCCCGGCCTACAGCCTGTACCCGCCATGGAAAAGACCCCGTTCTCCCTACGGCTGCCCCAAACACACCAGCACCCTCTGCCCCGGCCTACAGCCTGTACCCGCCATGGAAAAGACCCCGTTCTCCCTACGGCTGCCCCAAACACACCAGCACCCTCTGCCCCGGCCTACAGCCTGTACCCGCCATGGAAAAGACCCCGTTCTCCCTACGGCTGCCCCAAACACACCAGCACCCTCTGCCCCGGCCTACAGCCTGTACCCGCCATGGAAAAGACCCCGTTCTCCCTACGGCTGCCCCAAACACACCAGCACCCTCTGCCCCGGCCTACAGCCTGTACCCGCCATGGAAAAGACCCCGTTCTCCCTACGGCTGCCCCAAACACACCAGCACCCTCTGCCCCGGCCTACAGCCTGTACCCGCCATGGAAAAGACCCCGTTCTCCCTACGGCTGCCCCAAACACACCAGCACCCTCTGCCCCGGCCTACAGCCTGTACCCGCCATGGAAAAGACCCCGTTCTCCCTGCGACTGCCCCAAACACACCAGCACCCTCTGCCCCGGCCTACAGCCTGTACCCGTCATGGGAAAGACCCCGTTCCCCCTGAAACAAACTCCTCATTCCTTAACATTGGATCCCAGTCACGGGACAGAACCTGCCGCCCGCTCGCCCCGAGCCTGCAGTCAGGCAGTTCCTCCGTCCATCCCACTCCCCCAGGGACTCCCCCCGTGCTGCTGCCTGAGCTCCCTCACACAGGGCTCCCCATCCCCCTCCCCCCACACTCCAGCACCCCAACGCAGGTGCAGCTGGGAGGCTCAGAGGACCGTGCGCGCGGGCGAGCGGGCTTCCCCAGGGTGAGCTCTGGCCCAGTGGGGGGCTGGTGACAGCCGAGCCGGGGCGGGACGTGCTGCCCAGTGACTGTGCCCCCCGCCAGGAGG